AAAGATGAAATCGACACCGAGAAAAACTGGGGAGCGAGTTACTCGCAGCCAAGGACATGCAGTATTATTAAATGATTTAAGTCAACTGAAGTCACCACAGAAAACGTTAAGAAGCACAAGATCAACAAAACGGAAGCTAGAGGCTAAACAAATAGAACCACAAGAAGAACCTACAGGAACTGTGACTCCATCCTTAAGAAGCGCAAAGCGGAAGGTTGTTTCTGGTAACATTATGGAGGTACCAAAAAAATAAAAAAGCGGATTGGCAATATGATGTACTTGGTGAAAGGTGAAAAATTCACGTGCAGTAACCAGATCAGACGACGTTTTTCAGACATGGTTCACGGCGGTCCCGCAGAAGAAATGCCGACATAGGTGATTTTTCAATACAGTTGATCTAACAACGCCTGCAACAATTTTACCTGAGGTACGCCTATGCAGGAGAAAAAAGAAAGGCAACTAATCATTTAAAAGTGGATCAAGAAACGTAGGATATACGTTAGAATGTTGCTAAAAAAAATAAAATAAAATAAACGAAGTTTGTTTTTTTTTTCTTCATATTTCCTGTAAAAAAATGAAAAATAAATGAAGAAAACTGTTTACTCCTACGAAGTAAAGTTTTAGTTTGGGGGATGTTATAGTGGAACACACCTATTCTATAGTTAATAGACTCTGCCACCTATAATAAGTAGGAGTAGTAAGAGTAACGAGTCAGTCGCTCAATGGGTCGGTCAGTCAGTCGATGGTTGGACGACAGTTAGTCGAATACTAATCTATCAGCGACCACAACTAGATTTCTTTGTGTTATACCTATTATATCAAGTTCCTAACGTTTGGTACGTCAAACCTATTTTAGGACCGACTTTGTACAAATACAAGCCTCCACTGTGAAATCACTCCATAACAATAATAAATAATTATCACTTTACTATCGGTATCGAGCCCTCTTTTGGATTAATGCTGTGAAATTTATATATTACTTTCGTTCCCATCGCATCGGGTATATATATATATATATATATATATATATATATATATATATATATATATATATATATATATATATAATTATTTATTTAAAAATATGATTCCAACTCATGAAATAAGAGGTCTCATGTTTCAAAACAAGAGCCGGAAACTTCAATATAATTATAATTATTTTTTTTAAAATAATAACAAATTACTAAGGAACTTTGGATTATTTACCTAACCTGCGGTTTACTATTTACTATATATTTTACTATTTTCTATATATTTTCTATATATTTTCCTGTTAAAGGGGTTATGGTGAAATAGCTTATTACATGGAATCTTAACGTGGTCTGTTTTTTATTCAATATATATATATATATATATATATATATATATATATATATATATATATATATATATATATATATAAACATCAATTTTGATAGATACTCATATTACATTAGACGTCTTGCTTGCTCCAGTGGTTCTCTGTAGCTCAGTTGGTTAGATCGTGCACGATCTAAAGCTAGATCCCTCTACTAAAGGGATCGCAGATTCGAATCATGCCGGAGAACGCAAATTTTCTTTAATAAGATTTTTCGAATATTGAGGTTTATAGATGTAAACAAATAAATGTACTGTTTCATATATAAACGCAGCGTCTGCTGAAATACGAGTATCCAGTAAAAATTACGTTTAAAAAAGGTACCTCGGTAACAGTGCAAACGATACCTCAAGTTTAAAAGCTATTTTTGAAAATTAAAAATCTTAGATCTTTTATTTTAGTTTAAACTTCAAGTTAATAGATTCAATAGATACATTGCTGTATTTCAGAAACAAATTTAAAACTACATTAATTTAACTTCTTTCATCGCAATATACTTTTCTGATAATTTGTTTGAGCAATATTGGCTGATTTAAAGGATGATTAATCTAACTTGAAACAAATATTATTTAATGTAATTTTAAAATACCGCAAAAATGCATTTTTTTAACCAGACACTAGACGTGTTTAACACGTTCGCGGTTTTAAGAGCTTGATGACATATTGATATTTATTATCGGATGTGCTATGGGAGATGTAGGTGTTAAAGAATTAATTGATGCCACGTGAGAGTTTTTTATATATAATTTTTATGTACTCAGTAATCTTAAAAATTTGAGAAAATATTCTCTGATAAAACTTATTTTGTATCAACTTGGGGGCCTTTTAGGTCTTGCTGTGCTCTTTTCCAGCGAATTATTTGATTTAACTAATTTATGGGATAATAATTTTGTCGGATTAATGAAAATCAATTAAATTCTTTAGAAAAATTAATTTGCTTACATTTGGATACAATATTGTGAAGGTATGAAAAATTTCAGAATATCTACGACGTGAAACTTTTCGCTTAAAGGTACAAATTCAGTTAGCCTGTTCGCTTGCTTTTCAGTAGCTCAGGGAGGGTTAGAGCGCGCAGGATCAAACGGTAATTCCATCTGACCCGGTTCGATTCCTGCCAGACTGCGAAAATAATTCTTTAATAAGATTTTGCGCACGGCATGGCAATAGTCTTTCTCGTAAACGAATATTTGTGGCCGGAAGATTGTTTGAAACAGATGTTGCTGCACATTTTTGACTTCAGTATCAGACAGATTTTATATTTAAATCAGCTCTTTACCTGAAAAAAATAAACTATATATATATATATATATATATATATATATATATATATATATATATATATAGTATGTATTAATGAATATACATATAGCTACGCTCGAAGTGCAAAGTTTCGTAGCTCTACCAACTCATCATGCACGGACTATTACTGTTTCTTTTTTAAATACTTTTAAATACTGCTGAATGTATAAATCCGTTAAATTTTAATATGCGATAATTACAAATTAAAAGAAGTAAATTGAAGCAAGAGAAAAAATGACAGGGAAAAGTAAACAAACGAGGGAAAAAAACTTATAATTTAATAAAGTTAAACCAAATATAAACCCACTATTAAACGGTCAAAATTCACCCATCAAGTAAGCTATAAGTTGGATGTATTACTGTCGTAAAGATGCCATAAATTGACTCCTAGAACTAAGTATGTAGTGAACTAGAAGGAATCAATATGACGTTTATTGTATACGCAAATCTCGTAGACAAAGTCCATATGAATAAGATGGTTTTATTTTTTTTAACGCACATTCGTAAATTCTGACAACTCTTACGGTTCTATTCTGTCATTACATGAAGTCTGTTCAAAATCAGGAAAAACAATGTCCACGTAAAATTTAAATCAACAAGAATGATTTTCATTCTATGTTTGTTTATTTCTCTCCGTCGCTATTGCTTAATTTTATCAAAATTCCTCCTCATTTGTATCTCTTTCTGAATTGTTATCATTCAAATATTTGATCACTCTCTCTTCAGGTATATTTTTAGTTTCATTATTTTTATTTTATTTATCATTATTTATTTCTGTCTCTACTTTTAATTTATTTTCCATTTCGTCTTTATAGCTTATTTCCTTCTTTATTTTTTCCATATTGTATTATTTTGTTTTCATATTTCTTAATTTAATTCGTTCTTTCTTGCATTTTTCGTCCTTAAATGAACCATGTGGAGTTGATAAGTCGTAAAACTAAACAACCAATAAACCAACTTGCTTTTTTCTAACGAGCAATGATTCTTACTTTTATTATCTGTTGTATCGTCAAGGTGAATGATACACAAATAAGAATAAGTGCTTAATATATTTATTCAGCACCAGCATCCGGTGGTAACGGATACATACAAAAACATTGAACAATATGTTACAAAACAATTAAAACGACAACTTACTAGGAATAGAGGAGAGTCAAATGCTTTATAGCCATACGAAGTAAGATCAGTCCGAATATTAATCAGCTTAGTATCAACTTATTGGTCAACTGTTGAAGTCCTTAATCGTAGATTATTTAAGGCTATGTGCCAGGCTATCTGGTAGAATGCTGAAGCGGTGCTAGCTATTCTGCAACAATTATATTCAGTAAATAAACTTAATGAAGCTGTGGAGAGCCATGATCAACAGCATCCTGAAGAGACATGGCTCATAAAAAGATATATATATATATAACTGGAACATGGTAATAAGTCTGACGATTTAAAAATATGTGAAGGGCTACATTAATCGGAGAAGCTTAGACAGACTACAATGAGTATGACTGAGTATAAATTCCAAATGTCTGACAATTCAAGGAACCAAAAGAAACCGTAAAAATTAAAATTTCAAAGTCTCATTCTATTGAATTATCTCCTTTTAATAAGGCACAAATTATCAGAATGCAAAATTTGCATTTTTCTTTTCATTATTGTTGTAACGGCAAGGTGAATGATACACAGAGAAGAATAAGTATTTGATATATTTATTCAGCACCAATATCCGGTGCTAATGGATTCATACAAAAATAACAGAACTATAAATTACAAAACAATTAACAAGACAACTTACAAGAAATAGAGGAGGCTCAAATGCCGTATAGCCAAACGAAGTAAGATAAGTTAGAATATTAATCAGTATCAACGTATTGGTGAACACTATTTATTGTGCGTAATATGTACAAATACGGCACAAGACCAAAAAAAGGGGTAAATGGTGAAAAGGACGGTCATCATGTGTCTTAAGATTAAACTTAGCTGGTCACAATCACTGACCCAGACATAGAAACAATATTCCATTCACCAAAAGAAACGCATTCTTACTTGACATTCTAACTTATTGGTCAACTGTTGAAGTCCTTAATCGCAGACTATTTAAGGCTATGAGTCAGACCATTTGGTAGAGTGCTGAAGGGGTGCTAGCTACTCTGCAACACTTTCATTTAACACTAGTTTTCTTTTTTTTTCTTCCACTTCGTAATCTTTCATTTCGCTTTTATTATTTTCTGTGCTTTTTTTCCCTTTATTTATATTTCTTTTACTGTGTATTCCTTTCTTCCTCTTTTATTTCCATCAAATAGCAATATTTTCATTTTCGCTTTACTCAAGAGATGATTTGAATCCCAGACTCATGCCCGTACGATGGCATTATGTTGTTCTTTTCTTCTGTTTTTCTGCACCTGTCCTCGCCAAACAAAATTTTCCATAATTTCCAGCTTGAATAGAACTACGAATGTTTCTTTCTAGAAGCTGACTTCGGTCATTCGCAAATATCGGGCAAATTTCATATCAGACGCAGGTGCATACTGCCGCCATTTTGGACAACCTCGAGTGACAGTTTCGATCGCCATTCTGCGATGGTCAAACAATCACTCTGAAACCCACAGCACAATAAAACACGCTTCCTTTGCCACTTGCCTGCATGCATAATGGACGATTCAAGAACAATTCTCTTCAAACTCTCAGAATGATTTACTTTAACTTTCTGCTTACATTTTTTTCTTTCCATCATGCTCTCTTCTTCTCTTTCTCTTCTTTCTTTATTTTTATATATGAAACAATAGGATATTTGCATTTTTATATCAAGACAATTATGTTTGTCAAATAAGTGAAAAAATCGACACAATTATGAGCAATGTTTTTAAAAAAGAATTTAATTCAAAATTTTCAGATTTCTTCAGCATTTCCTCATACTAAATACTTATAACTAATAGTCAAATTTTTATATCTCCTCTTCCCCTCCCCTACACATATATAATTTCATTAAAAATATTTATTTATTCCAATGAAGACTATCTAGAGGACAAAACGCGTAACACATATTTGTTTCCACTTTGCCTTGGATGTTATTTAATTCTTTCACTCCAAGCAAGGTGATAATGCCACTCGGTACGCAAGAGTGGGAAGACTTTATTGAGTAGAAAGGACAATAAAAGAACTGAATTCAGGATGACAGAAGATTATACTGAATGCTGGACAATCCTAACGCATCAAAATATATTATTCAACCCCCAATCACAATTGAAAAAAAATGATTTAAGCTTAACATAAAATGTGTTACAACCTCATCTAAAATGATAAGAAATCAGATTAATCCAAAACAAATAAAAAGAAGAAGGAATTTACTATATGGTGACTGTTGTTCATGATGACAGTCGTCTTTGAGTATAGAATCCAGAGGTTAGCAGTGAATATTTCGAAGACAGTAGGGAAGCGTTGTTCAGGTTAGCAGTGGATATCCCGGTAAAGTAGCAGTTCAGCAGTTCTTCCTTCTGTTCTTTTCGCCTGACAAGTTGGCACTGGAGATTCGGAGAGAGTAAACAAAATGGCCGCCGTTATACACGACGGATTGAATATTATACGTCTTCTAATTGGTTAACCTTCTATTGGTGGACTATAAAGTGAGTCAAGTCATTTGGGCTAGCTGACTAGTAAACATACCCAAAAAACTGCAACAGTGACCACTTAAATACTGAAGGGTTTGAAAAAGTCATAAATTGTTCGTTTTCAATTTTGTTTAATTTTATTATTTGCAGGTTACAGAGCATCCCTTGGAGATTAAAATGGTTACGTATGATGTCTAGCAACGAGTAAACCTCATTGAGTTTTACTATTCCAATGAAAGATCAATTATTCAAACTCAGAAAAAATACCGTCAGATTTTAATATCAGAGTATCTCTTAGCGTTAACTTGATTCGGAACTTAATCACCGGGTTTAAAAAAAAAACTGTAGCAGTCGGCTATCCTCCGGGTAGAGCCCGTAAACGCACCGTATACACTGACGCAGCAGTGGAATCTGTACCTTGAGTATCCATCAACTTTTACTTGTCGTCGCTCTGCTTAACTAGGCATTACCAGAACCTTAATTCAGACGATTCTGAAATTGGATTTAAAAATGTTTCAAGATTCAAATGGTCCAAACTTTATTATCCCAAGATAATCATGAGTTTCTGAAAGTTATGTTTTATATCATTCAGTCTTTCAGTGGCGACTTCACTGTTAATAATTATGGCAAGGAATACATTGGAGAAACCTCAAGAAATTTAAATAAAAGATTATATGAACACAAAAGAGATCTTTTACAAAACAACACATTAAATAAATTAATTATTCACAGTAATGAGGCTGTCCACAGTTTTGATTTAAAAGACGGTAGTGTAATTAAAATAGAAAGCAATTTGATAAGGTCAACATATATTTAAAGTAATTTTAGTCTAGTGTCTTAATAAATTTTCTTTTAGTGTTTTTACTTCTCTGGGCAGATCGTGGAATATTATTATTAACAAAAGTGATGGAAACCGAACAAAAGACAGTGAAAAAATTTATATATATATATATATATATATATATATATATATACCCAAAACAAATATTAAAAGAATAAATTTTCAGTGACACCCTTTTCTACGTACGCCTGTTTTGTCGTATAAATGTAAACATCACTTTATATATATATATATATATATATATATATATATATATATATATATATATATATATATATATATATACCCAGAATTATATATATACCCAGAATTATAACCCTAACTCGTGACGACGGCCAAAGTTTTTCATGCCAAGGTTAAGTGAAATCTGATTTGAATGAAGTGTGGTCGGGTGAGCCAAAGAA